TATCTGAAAAAAAAAACAGGCATAGAATTCTGGCTTCGTCCATGAAACTAGAGGTATGGTCACGAGGAAGAAGTCGCACCGATACGACGCTCCGTCGACGTGTCACTCGGCAGAAGCTTTCCCTTGTTACACAAAAAGACGAGAAACTCAAGAGAGCAGTCGTGTCCCACCTGCCGACCAGGCGGGGAAGAGAAGTTCAAGGACGTGTGCCTCATCGACACGTTGCGTGCCCACGGCTACAAGCTGGAGTATGCGAGCGACGGCCCTTTCTGGGCGATCCGAGACGGCAGCACCTTTCTGGAGCCGTTCGGGCCGCTGGACAGACAGATGTTGTGCAGCTCGTTCACGCACCTGTAAGCAGGCGTAGTCCATGCAAATGCATTGTAAGGAAAGCAGTCGCTCGCACAACATGGAGGCAGATCTCGGCGGTCGCAGATGGCCAGTTTGTGTTGACCATCGGAGAGCACTTCGTCGCCCTGAGGAAGAAAGAAGGTGTGCTGGAAGTCAACCAAAGTAATAAGCGACACGCATGGAAGAAAGCGTGCACGCACCGCACACACTCCCCGCTTGTCTACTGCAACGAGATGGCTGTCTGGGTCATTGATCCGACCGAGTGCACCGGAGTCTTCGTCATTCAGGACAGCTTGGGCGGCGGATCGGACTTATCTGGTGGGAGCTTGCAAGGTCTTCCCGTGCATCTCTCGAAAGAGCTCGTTTGCAGACTAGGAGATCTTCGCACGGCCGTGCACTTCGAGCGTGCCTGCCGCGAGACACGCGACCTGGTTACGTCTTCGGACGTCTGGCTCGATAGACACGCGGGCGTCCTGCCTGCGGCTGCCGTGGACAGGAACTGGCTGGGGGATCGGAAGTCCTTGCTGGCCGCCGCAATCGGCGGTTCTCGCATCGTGGCTGTGGAATGGCCAGTGCACGTCACGGCGAAGAAGGTCTGCGGCTCACTCATCCGGAAGTGGAGCATGCTGCAGCCCGTACTATCGCTGGTCTACTTCCGCCTAAGCAGCACCGACCAGCCACGGCGTGTTGTGGTTTCAATTGGAGGCTGCTCCCCCATCGGGGATCGCTGTTGGTGTGACATGGGGGCGCCCTTTGCCGAAACTGTGATGACTGAATTGGGGCACAGTCGCCTTGGTCGCCCGAGCGATAAATTCCTCACTAGCATCCCACAGTGCACGGCCGACCGCCTGTTGCAGGTACAGTGGTACAATCACAGGCTGGAAGTTTTCCTCGACGGACACCGTCATGGGATGCTATCCCTGCAGGACTGCGATGTGGAGCAATGGGCGCATGTGACGGTGTCCATGTTCGGCGAAGAGAATTCGGCAGACGATCATCACAACCCGAGCAACAGCTGCTTTCTGCCGACGGAGCTCGGCACTAAAGCCTTTCTGTCAGCGCTGGACCTGCGTGGTGGAACGACAGACTGGTTGAGCGTGTCTCCTCCGCCGGTGTCATTCCTCGGAAGCCTCCAGGACTTTCTGTGTCTGGCTAGCTGCAGCACGCAACTCAGGGAGTGCGTTCAGCAAGGCCGCTTTTGGCATGACGTGGATCTGGAATTGAAAGTGCGGCTTCGTGCTAGTTTCTGCCAATCTGCCTTCTTTGGTAACCTTTTGCAAGCGTGGGAAGAAGGCATCAGGACAGTCTCCTGCTCTCCTTCCGTACTTCATGCTCTGTCGTCTCTCGGGACGAAACTCTGGCTACACGGACAAGGAGAACACATGCCGAGCCTGGTCGCTCCTATGGGAAGCCCGCAGAGCTCCACACGCATCGTGTACTGGAAGTCGGAGCACCAAACCTGTCATCGAAGTTCCATGCGTGTGCGGCTGCCATGGGATACGAACTTTCTGGTCTTGGCATTGCGACGCTCAAACTTCCGTAGTACCCCAGAAAGCAGCACGTGCATGGTGCTTCGGAGACCCTTTACTGCAACAGGGGAGATGCAATTCCGCCTGGCCAATGGCGAACGGGTTGCCATCCCCATGCCGCAGCATCTGAAGGAGGGAAGGAACTCAGGGCACACCTTCGCATTTCACTGGGACAGCAACTTCCTGGAGTTCGCTGTGGACGGTCATGACATCGCGACCATCCTTCTGACTGCGGAGCAGAGCATCGAGCCTTGGGTAAGAAGTGCCGCAGTCTGCATTACACCTTCCAGTGCTCAGATAGAAAGCTTTCAAGTCGAAGCTCTCCCATTCAAGTACATGACGTCGTTCGGATATCCGGGATGTGCGTACTGTGCCTGTGAAAGCCTGGCCTGCTGCAGTGAGTGCGAATATTGGTTCTGTCAGAACCATGGAATCGCGAACGCAGATCTCTGTCTGGCATGTGCTCCCGAATACTATCTCGAAGACCGTCTCGGTGGGACTTCGGTGCAGGTGACCTCGGCCGTCCGCTTGCAGATCGAGAAACGCCGTCTACAGGCACTGCGCAAACAGTATCTGTGTTTCCAAGGAGATGAGCTCAGATTCGAACAACTCTGCCATCGTCTGGTCGATGTCGAAGACAGGCTCTCAATGATCTTCTCCAATGAGCAACAGGCCATGGAAGCTCAGGAGGCTGTATCAGATGTCCATTTGATGCAGCGAGTCCAGGAAGCGCGTGGCCAGCTGGGTGACAGTGTTTTCTTCTCAGTGGCAACACAGATGGACCGGCCGACCGGCACCGGCTCCTTGCTTGACTTCGGGCTGGACACTTTCCTGCCGATAAGTCTAAGGCAGTGGACTGGTCCCCGCTCTATTTGCGCAGCAAGTCCGTCTTCTTTCAATGTGGAACGTCTTGAAGGACTGGAAATTCTGGATATTTTGGCCATTGTGCACACGCACCCGCGGGACACGCATTTGGAGTTTCGCGAGGCGGATCACACATACACCTGGCGGGGCCGGAAGGTTTCTATGTCTGTGACGGGTCTTATTCACAAGCTTGCCCGGAGCTTCAACGCTGTGGAAGCCGTGCGAGCCATGCGCGGCGGTCGCAATTGGCCACGTGCCGACTATCTGTCTACGAACGCTGTCTCGGAACTTCGACGAGCCTTGCGAGCGGAGGGACCCGCGGACGCGGTGCTGTCTCATCTAGTGGAATCCTCCGACGTGGATGTCGAAGCCATCTGCTGCCGACTTCGGAACCTCGTGTGGACACATCCTGGGTATCGTCATCTAGCGGAGATCGTTACTTTGACAGACACGCAGATTCTGGGCATGTGGGACAACAATCGCAGGAAGGCCGCGTCGCAGGGAACCTGGACACATGCTCTTTGCGAGTGCTTGCTGAATGGCGGCAGTGTACCCTTGCAGTCAACAGAGATGTGCACTTTTCTGAAGTTTCTGCGTGCCTTCACCTCAGAGGGATGGACCATTTATCGAACGGAGTGGACCATCTACGCGGAGGCTGAGGATCTGGCCGGCTCCATCGACGCTGTGGCGAAGCGTGGCTCGGAGATCTGTCTTCTGGACTGGAAGCGGACGAAGCAGCTGGCGTCCAAGGATTGCAGCTTTGGTCGCAAACTGCACTTTCCACTCGAGGACACAGAGGACTCCGTGGTCTGGCACTACCGCATTCAGCTCAACATCTACGCTTGGATCCTTCGACAATACTACGATGTAGCTGCAACGGACCTGCGAATTGTGTGTCTTCACCCAGACAACGGGTTTGAGTCCTTGGTCATTCCCGTACCCATCCTCTCGGATCGGGTTGACAGACTCATGTCTTGGCGGCGAGATGATCTGAGGTCTTGTGTGCGGCTGACTTCCTCGACTCGGGAAGATCTTCGCGGCGGCAGCCAGCCTCCAGACTCCCAAAACCCGTCATTGTCACAAATGATGGAACAGGAGATGGACACTTATGCAGATCTACCTGCGCCCGCAGAGGCAGACGGCGTGGCCGAGCCAGGTCCAGAGCGACAGAAAACAGCGGACGGCGCCGATGTCAGAGCTCTGGACGCCGGTGGGGCTAGGCTCATGGAAGCCGAAGAGCCCGCTGGGACGGACGCTTTGGAGAGCACCTTCAGTCAGATCATGCAGACGGATTTTGATATCCCCTCCGTTCCTGCTGAGTCAGCGGCGTCTGACGTTCCGGCTACCGAAGGCTGCATTCTTCGTGAAGTGGCACGCAACAACATGTACGTCTACCTGCCACGCAGAATGCTGGATCCCGTTGCAGAGGATGTCAGGAAACGAGTCGAGCTCTTCTGGAAGACCACATACTGGGCCAACGCGGAAGCAGTCCAGGTCTTCATGGCTTCCTTCGTACTAGCTCCGCGTGGCGAAAATGTAGACCGTGCATTCTGGGGCATCGGTTCCGGCGGAGTCGGACAGAGCCTACAGACGGCACATTTGGAGGCGATCCTCGGAGAGTACCACGCTTGCCTGGACATGAACATCTACTTTGTGGACGAGGCCAGTGAGTGAACAACTGCTGGTATTCTTAAGGAAAACGGAAGTCGGTTGTGTAGACCGTTGCATAACACTAGGATACATCAGCCTACTAGGTTCTAGCTGGACAGGAGATGCGGAAACAGGCGGCGAACATTGTTGACAAGATCGTTGTCACGGGGCAGGAAAGTGTGCAAGGCAGTCGGCGCTCCAGGAGAGAGGACATATACAAGAAACATATTTCTGCCAACAAAGTGCCGGAACGTTTGCCTTATGCCATCCAGACGGCATTGGTCGAGTTGCGCGGCTGGAAACGCTTCGAACTCAACACAGCACCAAAGTTGCTCGTCAAATATACATGATATTGACTCGGAGTGTTTACGTTGCAGTTGTAGCATGAGGTTTGTGTAACTCTTTCGTTGTCTTCTATCTGATCCGGCGAGGTTCGGCGGTGTCACCGATGAGACCATCAACTCTATTCTCAGAAATCGGGTTGACAGACTCATGTCTTGGCGGCGAGATGATCTGAGGTCTTGTGTGCGGCTGACTTCCTCGACTCGGGAAGATCTTCGCGGCGGCAGCCAGCCTCCAGACTCCCAAAACCCGTCATTCTCACAAATGCTGGAACAGGAGATGGACACTTATGCAGATCTACCTGCGCCCGCAGAGGCAGACGGCGCGGCCGAGCCAGGTCCAAAGCGACAGAGAACAGCGGACGGCGCCGATGCCAGAGCTCCGGATGCCGGTGGGGCTGGGCTCATGGAAGCCGAAGAGCCCGCTGGGACGGACGCTTTGGAGAGCACCTTGAGTCAAATCATGCAGACGGATTTTGACATCTCCTCCGTTCCTGCTGAGTCAGCGGCGTCTGACATTCCGGCTACCGAAGGCTGCATTCTTCGTGAAGTGAGTGAGCTGGAACGCACTATTGCAGACTATGGCCCCAGTTCTTCGTGGTCCTCCACCTTCAGACACGTGGTCCAAGGAGCACTGGCCGTACATCGCTTACGACTCCTCGATGTCAGTCGGCGAGAGGAAGTTTTGTTTCTCGAGCTTGTTGAGGGGTCTGGGAGACACGTCCGAGCCCATGGTGGGCAGTGCTTCTTCTATTCGGAGCACGGGCACTGGAACGCCTACAAGGGCGTCATTCCCGAGGGCACACTGGCACGATGCAAGAAGTTTCTCGTCCAGCTGGAGGGCCTTTATGCGTCCTTTCACGGGAATGTCTTCCGGGATCACGATGGAATTTTAAAGGCTTCCCAAGAACTATTGGAGAGACACTCGCTCCAATCCGACATCCTTCTGACTGCGTGCGAGAAGGCTGCCATCTGCCGTATGCCCCCGAAGTCCAAAGGAAGCAATCCGGGGGAGGTCGACGACGTTCAAGATCCGGGCGATGACAAGGTCCATTGGACAGTGGCCATGGCCAACACCATCGGCAAGCTGTACGTCAAATTGCTGCTTGTTTCCGAAACACTTCAGTAAATAAGCATTACTGGATGCAGACTCGTAATCTTATTTTGCAGCTTCTAAAAGTTTCTCAGTCCGAACTTTGAGGCAGACTTCTCTCCTCAATGACAGCATCATCAAGTACTACATCGCGTGGTGTTCTCAGGACGTCAAGCCAGCGGGAGGTTTCTGCACGACCGATGCAGCCTTCGCATTCACCGCAGACGGCTTGCATCCAGTTCGCAAGACACCACGCAACAACATGTACGTCTACCTGCCACACAGAATGCTGGATCCCGTTGCAGAGGATGTCAAGAAACGAGTCGAGCTCTTCTGGAAGACCACATACTGGGCCAACGCGGAAGCATTCCAGGTCTTCATGGCTTCCTTCGTACTAGCTCTGCGTGGCGAAAATGTAGACCGTGCATTCTGGGGCATCGGTTCCGGTGGAGTCGGACAGAGCCTACAGACGGCACATTTGGAGGCGATCCTCGGAGAGTACCACACTTGCCTGGACATGAACATCTACTTTGTGGACGAGGCCAGTGAGTGAACAACTGCTGGTATTCTTACGGAAAACGGAAGTCGGTTGTGTAGACCGTTGCATAACACTAGGATACATCAGCCTACTAGATTCTAGCTGGACAGGAGATGCGGAAACAGGCGGCGAACATTGTTGGCAAGATCGTTGTCACGGGGCAGGAAAGTGTGCAAGGCAGTCGGCGCTCCATGAGAGAGGACATATACAAGAAACATATCTCTGCCGACAAAGTGCCGGAACGTTTGCCTTATGCCATCCACACGGCATTGGTCGAGTTGCGCGGCTGGAAACGCTTCGAACTCAACACAGCACCAAAGTTGCTCGTCAAATATACATGATATTGATTCGGAGTGTTTACGTTGCAGTTGTAGCATGAGGTTTGTGTAACTCTTTCGTTGTCTTCTATCTGATCCGGCGAGGTTCGGCGGTGTCACCGATGAGACCATCAACTCTATTCTCAGAAGAACAGCGGTCTGTGCCTACAAAAGCAGCTTCGTCGATCCTGCTCGCATCGCAGGAAGAGAGGAGCTGGCGGCGTCGCACGGAATTTTCCCCCGGGACCCCACACTCAAAGATTTCCTACGGGACAACCCGGCTTGCCTGGTAACACTGCGGTGCGTGTGGAACTATGCCAGGAATCGGACAGCGGAGCAATGCCGCGATGTCCTGGAGAAGTACGTTGTCCGTGGCGGGGACTGCGGCTTGACGCTGGCGACCGTCCGGCGCAGCTGTGGCTTAACGCCAAATGAAACTCCGGATGCCGACCCTGTGCGTGAGGTCTTGGACGCCCTTTCCAAGAAAGCAGCCGCGTCTGCTGTCGCAGAGCCTTCTGCAGAGGTCAAGGCTGCGGAGGTGCAGGCAGCCGCCGTCCAGGCCACCGTCGCCAAGCACAAAGCGGAGCAAGAGGAATCCGTTAGTCAATTGCGGGACTGGCTGGTCGCAGAGCGTAAAGACTGGTTCACCGCTGCACAGCTGAAAAGTGCCAAGGCCAAGTTCGTCTTCAATTTCAACCGCTGTGATGCCCAGCAGGTGATCGACAAGATGCTGGCGAGCGGCCGACTTGTAGCTGCACCTACAGTTCTGCCTAAGGTTGGCCAGACGACTCTTTACCTGCCGGTCTACTTCTGCGAGAAGTCACTTGACGCGGTGGTGTCTCTGGTTCATGACACAGAGATGACCTTCATAGAGGCATACCATGTGTCCGGCGTTCGCTCTCGCCTGGCAGCAGACTCCTCGCGAAGTTTGAACATCAGGACGCTCGCTGAGAATTACAAGAAGAAAGATGCGGCGCAGCAGCCCAACAAAAAGAAAGGAGCTCCCAAGCGAAACGCAGACGTCGATGCTGCCGATTCCAGCATCTGGGAGGACCTTATCCAGGCATTAGACAGACAGACATCCTTGCATCGGGAGGTGCTGGAGGCGGCTCAGGAGGCGGATTCAACAGACGAGAATCTATATGTGAAAGTACAGCGTCAGTACTTCTATCCCCGGGACATCCGCTGCCGCCGATATGTCACAGAAGTCGGTGCTCAGAGTATGTCTCGACTCACACGAGCCATCTGCTGCCCTCAGACAGCTGACTACGACATCGCCTCAGCCATGTTCAACATCGTCGTCCAACTATGCGACATGGTACAGCCGACAGGCCTGGAAATTCCCTCATGGCGTGCCATTGCCACGAATCGCAGCCGTGTTTGCAGTGATCAGCTGAAGTGCACCGAATCGGTCGGCAAGAAGATTCTCACGGAGGTCGCCAATGGAGCGATGCCGTCGAACTTCAAGGACATCCCAAAGCAAGGCCTGGCATTTTTGACAGCACTTTCGACTGAAAGCCGCCGTCTGCGCTGGCTCGCTTGCTCGCAACTGCAAAGTCACTACCTGCAGTTGCGTCGCGGTTCCAGGACTCAGTGGCCAGAAGCAAGCATATTCGCCCTCTGGTGGACTGCCGCCGAAGACCTAATCCTCCAGTCGATGACTTGTTTCGTTCGGCAAGGCGAGGCCGCAGAACATGTTTCGTGTCACTTCGACGGCATTCTCGTGGCAAGATCCTTGGTGCAGTCACTGGAAGAAACTACCGGCAAAAACATGGTTTTTCTTCTTGAAGAGGCTGTGCTAAAGAATACGAACTTCAAGGTTGTGCTGAAGGACAAGACCGTTCCATCTTTGGATACGCTGCTGGACAGCAGATTGAA